CTCTCTTTCTTTCTTTCTTTCTTTCTTTCTTTCTTTCTTTCTTTCTTTCTTTCTTTCTTTCTTTCTTTCTTTCTTTCTTTCTTTCTTTCTCTTCCTTTTTTTGCCAGTCCTGGGGCACTGTTCCTGAGCTTCTTTTTTTTTTCTCAAGGCTAGCACTCTACCACTTGAGCCACAGCAGCATTTCTGGCTTTTTCTGTTTATGTGGTACTGAGGAATTGAATCCAGGGCTTCATGCATGCTAGGCAAGGTCTCTACCACTAAGCCTCATTCCCAGCCCACATCAGTTCTTCTCATCCTCACCCACCCTGATCTACCCTGATCTTCCAATATAATTTGTCTTTGTGAATATAACTGTCCTAAATCTTTTGTGTGGCTGTGGTGGGGCACTAGGGATTGAACCCATGGCTTTGTACCTGCTAGATAAGTGCTCTCGCTGAGCCACACCCCCAGTCCTCAGCCTAAATCTTTCCTGTGGGCTAGGAGGTTCAAGACTCAGAAAAGCTTACGATACTATGGCAGAAATTCAAAGGCATAGTGCTTGGAGAATTCTCTCTTGCCTGAGGAGGCCCATCTCTTTGTTCTATTCAGAACTTCCACTGATTGAAAGAGACGCATTTTTTTTGGTCAGTCATGGGGCCTGATCTCTGGACCTAGCTACTGTCCCTCAGCTCTACAGCTCAAGGCTAGTGCTGTACCACTTGAGCCACAGCGCCACTTCTGGCTTTTTATGCTTATGTGGTGCTAAGGAATCGAACCCAGAGCCTCATGCATGCAAGGCAAGCACTCTACCACTGAGCCACCTTCCCAGCCCAAGAGACCTATTTTCATGATGAAGGGCAATTTGCTTTATCCATAACTTATTGATTTTAAATGTTAATCTCAGCAGACAGGGTATTAGTGCATTCCTGTAATCCAAGCAGGCTGCAGCAGATCATGATACTTCTGCTTCTGACATCTATTGGGTCAATCTTTTTGACTTCTGCTTTTTTCCCCCTTTTTCCTCTTGTTAAAAATAAATTATGGGTTGGTGGCTAGGCAAAGTGTGTGCATACCAAGCACAAGGTCCTGGGGTTGATCTATTATAAGTATGACCTGGGCCAGACCCCAGAGGCTCAGCATAGAATCCTAGCTCATCAAGAGCCTGAGATCTGG